ATATGGGATTAATTGAAATGGAGTCCGGGCCGATCCCCAAACTCCACTTTTTGACGACACATAACTATGTTGTAGTAAAAATATTATCTTAACTTTATGATGGTATGCACACACAATTAATAATTAAGAGAAATATCAATAATATTAGGTTTTTTAACACTTACATTAGTAGAAAAAATGGCTGGGCACACGGGGATGGGCGGTTGGTTCCGAGGCAGAGGGCAGATTATTGGCCCTCACCTGTGTCACTTGTATCAATTGTATCACTATCCACCACAGAGGCTTGCAGGGCCTCTTTGTCAAACTCCCCAAAGTCCATATAAGTCCATATCCTCACCATAATTATCACTATCACTGACTTGGGCCGGCTGTGGTGGGTGGCGGGTGAAGAACTGGTAATGTTTTGATGACTGGGCGACCTTGTGCGCACCATGTTCGCGCCGCTTACACAACATGGCGGATGGCGGGAGGTTTGGATCCAAAAATGGCGCGGCTCGCCAGCCGCTCTCCGCGTAAAGGGGTACACGCACCGCGGAATGTGAGCATCCTGGGTTCCGGCAGGGCACCGCGTAAACGTGGAAACGTGGAATGTGGGACCTCGTAAAGTGAGGGTTAACTGTACTTCAATTACTTCAATGTACAGTTAGTTCTGCTATAACGCAATAGTTGTGTTCTTGTAAAACATCGTTTTATAGAAATTCGGGTAATAGAAATAACAGGGCTTATGAAGAAAATAGGGTTGGGTGCAGATGACTCTAAATCGAAAAAAAAATTCGTAGTTAGCCTAACACAAAGGTTAACACAGTCTAAATAAATGTTACATTCATATCTAATAATGAAATCATACAGTAAATGTTACACTTTACCTTGAAAAAATATGAATATAACTTGATGGGGGAGAAGGTTGATGTTGAGGAGTCATGCAGACAGGATTTGACAGTTGTCATCGTCATCATCAGTATCATCATCATCATGTGCAGTTTTTCTTTAGGTCCTCATATATTGATAAGGCTTTCTCTTTAATGGTGAGGAAGCTGGTCCCAGATCACTTTTTCGTTTGATCTTCTATCCAAACACTTAGAAGCCATTCCATCTCCTCAAGTTCCTTTGGCCGTGATCTCACACTTTTGCTAGCACTCAAGGTTTTTCCAGCAATACAGCTTGCTTTAATCTTTGCTGCATTGTCTCTAATGGTGCGTAAAGTAGACTCCTTTATTCCCGTTGGACGCACAATATCACATGTTCTTTCCTTATTTTCAAAACGCTTGACAACATAAAGCTTTTCTTCAAGTGTTATAGCCTTTCTTTTACGATCACCACCGGAAATGCAATCACCAGAACGCTTCCCGGAGATAATCTTATTTTCCATAGTCACAAAATTGGAGAAACAGTAATAAAAAATCACTGAGGATGCTTAAAAACTTCCCACGTGTTTCAAACTGATCGTGTGGTGTAAACAGAGCGTGCGGGTCTAAAATGCTAAGTATTTTGTTTTTCTCTCTTATTTAAAATTTTACAATTTACATATACTGTACAGGTATACTGTATACATAAATATTACATAAATTATTTCTGCAATTCTTCACAAACAAAACTCATAAATCAATTGAACATGTGATATCGAACGTGAACTGTAAACACTGCATAACCCCGCGCCAAGCCACAACACTGTACAGTACACTTTAAACGCTACGTATTTAGTTTTTCTCTTTTATTTAAAATTTTACAATTTACATATACAGCATATGTAAATTGTAATTTACATATTATTCATATTATGCTACAGCGCCCACAAAACATGAGAAACGTTTGAGTCCCCCAGAAGAGATGTCCGTTCTCTATCCACTTCAGGATGTCTTAGTCCTTCGTTTTCTTTTTGTGTACTCGCTCAGGGACTCAAGTATTTCTGTATATAACACTGGATGATAAGGGAATTTGAAATTATGAGTGAATGAATTTATTATACAGTCAATTGGATACACCCACAGCGAGAGAAAAGAGTCTAGACGTATTGAGTATATGTCGTACAGACGTAAAGTCCTGTGTTCATTCCATCTCGTATTAAGTTTTTTGACTTGGTTATTTGTTGTGTGAATATGCAGTGATCAATTAACATAGTTTTGATGTGTTTAAGTAGTATTCAGGCGCCTTCAGCCTAGTAATGTTACGACATTCGTATCACTCACTCTAAACCACGAATTCCACCCATACACAGAGAAAGAGAGGCCAAGCGCTCTGTTTACATCATACACACATAAATAATACATACCGTATATCTCGGCCTATTTTATAATCACAGTCATGTACTGAATATTCTATGTAAAAAATATAAATATTAAATGAATTATTTACAGTGCGGTCGACTTCCTACACAAAGACGGGCTATAAATAGCCTACTTATCTCCTCTCCATCTATTACCCTCTGTTCTCAGAGAGAAGGTCTTGGTAAATAACTTTTGTTTGTTTATTTTCATTGTTTGTCTAATTTATCATGATGTATCAAAGTAATATTATTAAAAATTTTAGGCAGCTACCAAACAGGGAGATACTACCGCCTGGGAAGATATTGGAAGCATAATGTACAGCATTGTCTAATGGTAGATCCTACAGTGAGTTCTGCTATAACGCGTGTTTTGATAACGCGAATTTGCTCTAACGCGATTTATGAATTCGGAACAATATTTGTATAACGCGATCGCTTGTTTGCTATAACGCGATTTTTGCTTACTATTTCTCCAATTTTGTGGTATTAACTGTGAATATGGTAAAGAAGAATATCTCCAAAAAGCATTCTGATGATAGAATTCACGGTGATTATCGTAAAAGAAAGGATATAACACTTGAAGAGAAGCTTGATGTTATCAACCTCAAAATCACCCTTCTCCCCCATCAAGTTACATTCATATTTTTTCAAGGTAAAGTGTTAAATTTACTGTATGATTTCATTATTAGATATGAATGTAACATTTATTTAGACTGTGCTATCCTTTGTGTTAGGCTAACTACTAAATTTTTTCGATTTCGAGTAATCTGCACCTAACCCTATTTTCTCCATAAGCCCTGTTATTTCTATTACGCGATTTTCTATAACACGATATTTTACAAGAACACAATTATCGCGTTATAGCAGAACTACCTGTACTTCCATATGGCGTCACGAAAATTGTGACCAAGTCTTAGGTTGCTGATCTATCTTTCTGCCTCATTTACACACACTTGCAGAGTTTCAATTGTTTCTCTTCCTTTGACAACACAACATACAGTACATACAATATAATTTTTTTCACCTTAAATCTTTTTTCCTTTTTGCATTTATTTATGGTTGGTTATTTAAAATAAGGCCAATTCACTTAAAGAATTGGCATCAAATTTCACCGGCTGGTGTACACTAGTGACTCACTTAAGCGTCAATTATTTAACTGGAACTAATGTCGGTGTGAGTAAAATATTTCCATTTACTTGAAATAGATTTGCCATTTTATTTGTTTATTTATTTATTTATTTATAATACTTGCAGTATATTTACTTGCAGTATATTTAATATATTACAAGTATTTTCTTTAATTTATATACTTGTTTCACGAAAAAGGGAGGCTACCATTATACCTGGTAGGTGAAGTTGACCAGACATTTATGGTGATCATTAAGGACCAAACTCCGAATCCATGACGTGACTTCTGTTCATCATTTATATCCTAAATTTACCACTGTCGGTAGTTTCAAGAATTAACGCAGTCATTTACTGAATATTCTTTGTAAAAAAATAAATTTTAAATGAATTATTTATAGGAAATAAGTATTATGATCAGTAAATATACAGATATGCATTACTGACCACCTCCGAGCACAAGGACAGCTAAAAATAGCCACAGGCGGTCACAGTCAAGGTCACTTTCCCTTTCTTGTCACTGTCAAATGGGGGGGGGGCGGGGGGGATGATAGCAGCTGTATTTATTACCGGGGTATATTGTTCTTTTACGGTATGTTAGACAGGTTTATAATACATTTTCATTATTTTAATATACCGGCAATCTTCATTTTAATCCAGCTTCCCAAACGTAAGTTTCAGCATAAAATAATTAGTGGTAAGACCTTGTGAGTGGTTTACTGTATACATAAATATTACATAAATTATTTCTGCAATTCTTCACAAACAAAACACATAACTCAATTGAACACGTGATGTCGAACGTGAACTGTAAACACTGCATAACCTCGCGTCAAGCCATAACAACTGTTCGAGTGGAATCGCGTTAGAGCAAACAATATTGTTCCTCTATTCATCAATCGCGTTAGAGCCAATTCGCGTTGTCAAAACACGCGTTATAGCAGAACTCACTGTACAGAATATTCCTCCGGCGGGGCGATCTGCGTATTTGCAAATCCGTGTATGCTAAACCCACGTACGTTAAGGGCCGACTGTATATTAGTTCAGTGAAGACGAGCCTGGAAGGGCGAAAAACAACGTCATTCACTAAGTGACTTGAAAGCAGAGGATATTAGTCACTAAAGATCGACTGTCTTCCTAGATAGAAGATGAGCCGCGGTCGCCATTCTTGACCAGACCGTATAAAAAATTGTCCCAAACACAATACCTGAGAGATATAATAAAAAAAAAAGTCACTCGGTTTCCTCACTGTGCTAAGATGTATAAATACCAAAAATAAAATCCTTGTGGCACTTAATATTTCAGCTATTACAACTCAAATTAGCGGAGCCTTTCTTGTGCGCGTTGACAGCTGATTCGCCAGGCAAAAAGATGACAGTAGCAATGCGTGTGATGGAGGGTGCGGGAGGGGGTTTTGAGAATTGCAATTAAATGCTAGGTAGCGACGTGTCCTCCTAATATTACGTATTTAAGTAATTATTAGATGTTTTAATTACCTTGTTCAATTCCCATGCTATCAATCCTCTTATCATTATTATCACTGCCATTTCACGGTCATATTTACTGTACCTTCACTGCTTAAATTAACATGAGAACAAGCTGATTAAATTACCTTGTCAGACTTTGAAGATGAGGAGCTTCCCATAGCAACACAACTACTCTCACCAAGAGCAACATTTGGAGGGGGTGACACAGCATTGCTTATTCCACTTACAGATCTGCAATTTAAATTTATTTATAATTTTTTTTATTTTTACAAACAGTAATGATATGTACAATTTTATTCTCTATTAAGGTACTTGTGTGGGACATAGGAGAGAGGATGAATTAGGTGCCTGTTAAGCCACCTCTCCTTTAGTGTTCCTTTATTTCTTCAAGCCATGATACTCCTCACCAATGTACCTCTGGTTTCCTTGTTTATCTTACATGTGAGATCCAATCAAAAGTTTTATGTTGAGGAAAATAAAATCATAGTCATTACAAATGTCCAGATTAAAAATTGATTGAACAGAATAAATTTAGAAGACACAAATACTCTCTCATTATCATTATGGAAATAAGACCACTGTAGTAATTCATTGTTGAATATATTTGTTGTCAGGCTTAAGTCACTGATTTCTCAATATAGTTTGTAATTTTTTATTTACTTGAAAACTGTATATGTATAAATTGTGGTGATGGAATATTATTAAGAAATTGAATTCTCTATATATTGTCTGAAATACTTGGTTTACAGTCTGACCTCACAAATTTGTGCCTCAAAAATCTGTTTTTCCACAAATCCGTGCAATTCACAAAATCTTCAAAACAAGATGAAAGACCAATTGGAAATAGGCAAATGAAAAGCCAACCTCACTATAAAGAATGTGGAGAGAAAGAGGGAAGAGACAGACATAGAGACATTTAGATACATGCTAACAGATAATTATGATTATGAGGTGCACCAATTTGTTTCAAGTGCAGAATGACATTGATTCTATCAGAGATATATCAAATATGCCTAGATAAAAGAAACTGTCAGAGTTGGAACCTTAGAATGCATATTTATAGCCAAGCAATTCAGGACAAGAACCCTATCTCAAGGTTTCAGTATTGTGATCATGAAGCCTCACTGGCTCCCTACATCAGCCATTGTATTTAGAGTTCACAGCATTAAGACATGTTCACCAGACAAGTAACTGTTTAAAGCATTTATGGTGATCCATAAGACTGCATAACTTTGCAAATGAGCATGTCAAACTCCCTGGTGCCCACTCGGGCACAGGTCATCGATCCACAATGAGGCCTTGGGGCGAAAAAATATGAGTAAAGAGAAATTAAATATAAAAGAGAAACTGACTACACCACAAAGATGCCAGAAAGGCAGCTGTTTTAGGTGACACAGATTGTATGAGTATGGAAACACAGAAGAAGGCAAAGCATTCCACAGTTTGGTTGTGTGAGGAAAGAAGGCTGTATTATAACGGGTTATTCTAGTGTGACCGACACCCACAGAAATGGTGGGCACCGAGGGCAAGACAAGTGTTACGAGCCCATGGCCTTGCCAGCAGTACACAGAATGCCAAATCCACCGAACATTGTCCGTTAAAGTACCTGTAAAACAGAGAGAGTGAAGCAACATTGCGGCAAAGAGAAAGGAAAGAGAAATTATCAACTAAAGGAGGAGAGTTAATAAGACGAATTGCCTTTGATTCCACCCTACCTAACAGAGGGACAGACGAACAGCTATCCCTTATAAACTTGAAGCGACTGCTCAGGAGTGAAGTAACTACAGCATCTGTACAGCATTCTCAGCTTTCGGGAGGCAGCTTTAGCAATGTTGTGGATGTGTGGCTTCCATGATATATTGGCTTTATCAGAAGGAAAGATGGCTAGAGAGTTATCAGGTCGGAAGAGACGAGGAAAAGAAGGAGTGCAGAAGTTATCACAGATGTTTTTGGTTAAGAACCAGAAGGATTTATTAGAAGAAGAATGAGTCAGGTCAGTGGTCTATCTTTTTATTAAAACTCTGCTTGGCCCTATGAAGAATAACCTTACAACAATTCCTAGAAGTAATGAAAGAGGAGTGGGCAACAGGAGAAGGAAATAGTTTCATAACTTGATATGCCTTATCTCTCTCCCTACATGCAAAAGAACAGGAGCGATCAAACCATGATTGTAAAGTGAAAATTTTGGTAGAAGATGGGATAAATGCACTCATACCACCTTGTATAACCACAGCAATGCTGCCAGCATATACCGAGGCGTCCCGAGTGGAAAAACAACATTCATCCCACGGAAAGTCGGAGAAGAATTCTCACAAGGATTGCCAGTTTGCCCTCTGATAGTGCCATAGTTGGTGTTTAGAGGGGGGTGGGGGAGGTGGTCGTGTCCAGTTTGATTAATATAAATAAGATTGTGATCAGAAGACCCTAAGGGGGCAGAAATTGAGAATGAACAGTGCGAGGGATTAGAGGTAAAACAAAGATCAAGAATGTTAATAAGTTGATCGTGTTGGGTGTTTAATTATTTGTTCCAGATCATTAAGTAAGGAAAAAGAGAGTGCCTCAACTCCACCTGGGTCATTCCTTGCAGAGTCAAGCCACTCTCTGTGATGTACATTGAAATCCCCGAAGTAGAGGATCTTGGTGTTGGGGTGTGTGGACAGCAAGTGCTCTTATAAAAGAATTAAAGGTCATAGACTGATTACAGCAAAAAGACAAAATACCAATTCCTTACCTATGATTTAATGAAAACCCCTGTGGAGTTGGAGCGGAAGAATGCCAAGATGCTGATGTGTGGCCAGCTGAACGTTGAGCTGAACCCTCAAAGGATGAACTAACAGATCTCGGAGGCAACTCTGGTGGCAGCGATGAAGGGGGACTACTACTTCCTTGACCACCTGTTGATATTGTCAATACTGTACTATATTGAATTATAGCACAAAACAAAATATTGCACATGAGATCATACATTAATTTGTATTACAGAATAAAACTAAAGCAATTTCAACAAATACCATATTTGCTGTCACAAAAGACACACTGTAGCATAAGATGCATCCCTATTTTACAGAGATTTTTGTGATATTTTTTTCAGTACACTTCATACATTTAATAAACCATACATTTAGAAAAAAAAAAAAAAAAAATATATATATATATATATATATATATATATATATATATATATATATATATGTATATATACTTCATTTTTAGTCCATATAACACGCGGACTTTGAACATATAATCAACGACCTCACCAGCAAGGAATCGAACCCTGACCTACTGGGTATATATATGTACCTCGCGTTTCATACCAGCTGGATTCGGTAAAATGCTACTGACACCACATAAGAGGCACGGGCAGTTTCCCATTGAGGTTCACGGCGCCATCAGCTCGATGAACAGGCTTTGTGTGAAATATAACAGAGTCTAGAACTGCTTTTAGTGTCCTTGTGGCCTAGCCGGTAAGCGTTCCCTAGTCACACCCAGTAGGTCGAGGTTCGATTCCTTGCTGGTGAGGTCGTTGATTATATATATATATATATATATATATATATATATATATATATATATATATATATATATATATATATATATATATATATATATATATATATATATATATATATATATATATATATATATATATAAATATAAATATATATATATATATATATATATATATATATAAATATAAATATATATATATATATATATAAATATATATATATAAATATATATATATAAATATATATATATAAATATATATATATATAAATATAAATATATATATATATATATAAATATATATATATATATAAATATATATATATATATATATATATATATATATATATATATATATATATATAAATATATATATATATAAATATATACAATAGTGGGTATCTATAAACGGATCCTACTACGAATATTCCTATAACAAACGGTTTTACCTATAAAATTGAGAATGCTATAACGAACGAAACTCCTACAACGAACGCGGATGAATACGGGACTATTTCACCTGGCGCATGAATATTGTTGTACCGCGACCCACAACAAGAGCGTCAGGCGCCATCTTTGTCTCATTGTGTAGCCAGTGCACCACTGTTATTGTTGAAATTTCGTCTTTTGATGTGGAAATTCGCGTTATTTGTATAACTATTTTGTTATACAAGTATACAATTGTAACAATGATCGTCCAAAGCGAGTGAGAAAGCTAATAACCCTTGAAACTAAGAAAGAAATTATAAAGAAACGTGAGAATGGAAGAAGCATTGCGAAACTTAGTGATGAATATGGGATGGCTAAATCGACTATATGTACGATTTTGAAGAATAAAGAGGAGTTAAAAACTGTGCAAGTGGCTAAGGGAATCTTTAGACTTAGCAAAGCAAGGTGTAATGTGATTGAAGAGATGGAAAATTTACTCTTAGTGTGGATAAAGGAGAAAGAAATGGCAGGTGGTAACATTAGTGAAGCTATAATTTGTGAGAAGGCTAAACAATTGTTTGAGGACCTTAAAGCCAAGACTCCCAGTGGAAGTGATAGTGATGTGCCAGTGTTTAGGGGTACCTGCATGCTGAATAACACTAAGGTAAGATAAAGTACCGTATTTTTTACATTTTCCACAGAATTTTTTCAGTGTTAAGCGGTTGTATTTGGGGGCCTGGAACGGATTAATCCTATAATGAACGAATGCTATCTGGAACTAATTACGTTCGTTATAGCATACCACTGTATATATATATATATATATATATATATATATATATATATATATATATATATATATATATATATATATATATATATATATATATATATATATATATATATATATATAGTATATATATATATATATATATATATATATATATATATATATATATATATATATATATATATATATATATATATATATATATATATATATATATATATATATATATATATATATATATATATATATATATATATATATATATATATATATATATATATATATATATATATATATATGGGAAAAACATATTTTGTGCATATAAATACAGTAAAGTACACTACCGATACTACTGTATGTAACTGCATCAAACATGCCTTAACTATGTTTGGAAGATAATTCACTTTCAAATTTCCCACCACCACGCATGCAGAGAGGTGGAAGAGATGGTTGGCAGCGACTGCACTAAGCATCTGGCAGTCTCATTGCCCATTGTTGTAAGCAAATTAGGCTACTCACTTTCATCTTGTAGATTACTATTGCATATTGTATGATGATTTCTTAGGTTATGAGTTCCGTAAGATTATTATGAATTGTATGAGTTGACTCGATAAATATCTCTTATGTTATGTTCTTTGATAATATTTCCTCTAGTACATTTACTATTAAACAAAACATGTTGAACTAATGTGAAAATGTATTATAATTTAACTCAATAAATCTATCTAAACTAAAAAATCAGTACATTTTCAAATTAAAATTATTGTATGTACTTTACAGTACAGTGACCCCTCGTTTAACGAACACCTCGGTTAATGTAATTTCGATTAACGAACTGCCTTCCATAAGGATCTTCAATTCGGTTAACGAAAAAAATTTCGCTTAACGAACTTCTTACGAACCGACCTCAACATGTTTTCGCTTGCACTGACAGGGCAACCAGCTTTAGTATCAGTCCGCCTATACATTAATCGGTTCTAGGGCTTAAATTCCTTACTATTTTAGTATATATCAAGAAGTTTATACTATTCAATAATTTTAAAAGTTTAATATTCAATTTTTTAGTCATTTTAACAATTATTGAGCAAAATTGAAGGTAAAGTGACTAGTTTAATGCGCGGCATCCAGCCTCTTAGCACAGCAAACAGGCGTCAGTCTCTCTCTGTTTTCACTGGAGGTAACATCTTGCTTGAAACTCTCTTCAACTAAACGCTTTTTTTCTGTGTTTCCAAGCAAATTATTGGTCATTTTGAAAATCATTTTACATATTGACAATATATAGTGCAGTGCAGTGTTATTTTAAAGAAAATATTCTTTATTTACAGCTAGTTTAACTTTGAAAAATACGTGTTGCCATTGTTTGAATCCAGCATGGGGCCTAAGAGATCAAGAAAAGCGATTTCAATCCAAATAAAGCAGGAAATAATAAAAAAACACGAACAAGGTATTAAATCAAATGCGCTATGCAAAGAATATGGCATGTCGGCATCAACTGTGTCGACAATTCTTGGACAAAAAGACAAATTTAAGGAAGTGAACGTGAGAGACAAATCTACAAGAGTGTTTAAAAGTAGATCCCTAATCGTAGAAACTGGGAGGTTACTTATCATCTGGATTAGGGAAAAACAGATGAAAGGTGATTCAGTTTCTGGTGATTTCATTTGTGAAAGAGCCAGGGAGATTTATGAACATTTAAAGGCAGATCAACCTGGTTCTTCAGGAACAGAATTTGAAGATTTTTCGGGCTAGCAAAGGCTGGTTCGAAAAATTTAAGAAAAGAAGTGACATTTTAAGTGTTGCTAGGCATGGTGAAGCTGCTAGTGCTGATAAAGAAGGGGCAGCAAAGTTTTTAGTTGAATTTAAAAAACTGATGGAAGAAGAAAATTATCTTCCACAGCAAGTGTTCAATGTGGGCGAAACTGGGCTGTTCTGGAAAAAGATGCCCAAAAGAACATTCATCACCAAAGATGAAGCCTCTTTACCTGGGCATAAACCCATGAAAGACCGTCTCACTCTACTGCTTGGTGCCAATGCTTCAGGGGATTTCCGACTGAAGCCTATGCTTGTCTACCACTCTGAAAACCCCAGGGTGTTCAAGCAACAGAAAGTGGTAAGAACAATGCTTGGAGTTTATTGGAAGTCCAACCGTAAGGCATGGGTGACAAGACAGTTCTTTAATGAATGGGCTGTTGATGTGTTTTGCCCCTCTGTCAAGAGCTACCTAACCACCAATAAACTCCCTTTAAAGGTTCTTCTACTCATGGATAATGCTCCTGGTCATGACCCTGACCTTGCCAGAAATTTGGAGTATCAATTTGACTTTGTGAAAGTGTTGTTTTTGCCTCCAAACACTACATCACTCATACAGCCAATGGACCAGAATGTGATCAGCAACTTCAAGAAGTTGTACATGAAGAAAATGTTTAGGAGGTGTCATCAGGCAACTTCCGCTGATCCTGAACTAATACTGAAACAGTTCTGGAAGACACAATTCAACGTCCTGGAGGCTGTAAAATTGATTGTGTCATCATGGCAAGAAGTCTCCAACAGAACCCTCAATTCTTCATGGAAAGCACTGTGGCCATCAGTAGTCCATGATTTTGAGGGATTTCAGGATAACACAGAGTTGGACCAGGAGATTGTGTCCATTGGTCAGTCATTGGGCCTTGAAGTGGAGGAGAAGGATGTGGAAGAGCTTGTGATGTCTCATGAGGAGGAACTTACTCCTGATGACTTGAAGCAACTGGATGAGATGTTACGGGTAGAGGCTGACAGTGGTGAGGAGGAAATTGAAAGTGATGACCATATGTCAGCTAAACAGTTGAAAGATGTGATTTACCACTGGGAGAAGTTCAGGGAACTGGCTTCAAAGCACCCAGAAGTGGAAAAAACTGAACTAACTTTATGTCATGTTGAGGACTCAGTGGTCTCCTTCTTTAAACATAAGTTAATGGTGAGGAGGACAGATGCCCCACAGACCACAATTGACACTTTCTTCAGTAAAAGGCAGAGGGAACAAGATGCTAGCCCTCAGCCTTCCACTTCAAGAAGGAGAGAGGATGTTCATGGTGGAGAATCTGTCAGTCCAGAGGTTCCTCACCTTCCAAGAAGCAGTAAAATGCTTCTCCTCCACCTCCACTTCCTTCTCTTCTCCCTTCTCCTCCTGCA